CTTTTGACCTCTGAACTCTAACCTCTGTCCCTGCAGCCTGTGGGGGCCTCCTTCCTGGCCCAAGGGGCTTCTTCAGCAGCCCCGACTACCCAGACCCTTACCCACCCAACGCCCACTGCGTGTGGCATATCCAAGTGGCCACAGACCATGCAATACAGCTCAAGATCGAAGCTCTCAGCGTGGAGAGTGTGGCCTCCTGTCTTTTTGATCGCTTGGAAATCTCCCCCGAGCCTGAAGGCCCCCTCCTCAGGTGGGTCCCTCTGCCCCCAGGAGATCCCACCCCACTCCTGAACCACTGTCTGGAGGGCAGAACCAGGGAACTGCAGTGGGAAATTCTTGACTGGGAGGAAACGGAGAGACTTGGCCTCTGGGCCCAGCTCTGCCACCATCTTGCTATATGACCTTGGGAAGGTCACTTCCCCTCTCTGACCTTGGTTTCCAAATCTGGAAATTGGAGCTCCTACATATCTTTCCCATGGATAAATGCCTCAAGAATGGATGTGCAGGAGCCAGGGAGGTCAGAGCTCTGCTGGAAATGAAGGGAACCTTTTGGACACATCGTCCCCAGGACAGGGCTTGAGGGAAGAGGACCGCAGGGCCCAGGCAGGCTCCACTCTGGCTGGCCCTGAGCTCTGAGCCTCCGTCACTCCCAATCTGGCTTCTTGCAGAGTGTGTGGGAGGGTGCCTCCCCCCACACTCAACACCAATGCCAGCCACCTCCGCGTGGCCTTCGTCTCTGACAGCAGTGTGGAAGGATCTGGCTTCCGTGCCTGGTACCAGGCCGTGGCCCCCGGTCATGGTGAGTGTTTTCCCGCCAGGTCCCCAGCTACCCGTCAACTGTCCACTTCCCCCCTCTCCAGCCACTCGCAGCCCTGCAAAATGGGTAGAGATTCTAGGGGGTTCTGAATCCAGATGCCCGCCCCCAGGTAGCTGTGCCCACGATGAGTTCCCCTGCGACCAGCTCGTCTGCCTGCTACCTGACTCGGTGTGCGACGGCTTTGCCAGTTGCGCTGATGGCAGTGACGAGGCCAACTGCAGCGCCAAGTTCTCGGGTATGGGCCCGGCCAGCCTCAGGGCGGGTACTGTCCTCAGGCATCTGATCCAGGTTCAGGCTGGCCTCCCCAGGCCTGGCCCAGCTCCAAACCTGCCTGGTCATTCTTCTGGCCCAGAACTTGTCTCCCCACGGGCACAGCCAAAACTCTTCTCTGCCATCCCTGCTGGCCCTGCCGGGCCAAGGCACAGACCCTGGCAAACTCATGAGCCCCTCCTCCTCTCTACAGGGTGTGGGGGGAACCTGACTGGGCTCCAGGGCACTTTCTCTGCTCCCAGCTACCTGCAGCAGTACCCTCACCAACAGGTAAGCCAGCGCTCCATAGGGAGGGTGGTGCAGCCCACGTGGGCACACCTGAGCATCCGGGTTAGTGCGATTGAGAACAGCATGGCAGATACTGCCTTGTACTTGGGAAGGTCAGAGATCAAGCAGGCAGGAAGGGAACATTATTAAGTGCTTACTAGGTATCCATGTTCCCGTGCTGGGTAAGCTTATCTCTGAGACCAGATAAGTTAAAGGCCCTTCCGCGGCCACCACCGATGATGCGAGCAGTGTGGGCAGGGCCCACCCACTCCCTACCCCGCCTGCAGCAGGGGGAAGCCCATCTGGAGCTCCGATTGGGACAAAAGAAGGAACCCATAAATTACTCCACCTGTGCCCTCCCCCAGCTTTGCACCTGGCACATCTCGGTGCCCGCTGGACATGGCATCGAACTGCTGTTCCACAACTTCAGCCTGGAAGCTCAGGACGAGTGCAAGTTTGACTATGTGGAAGTGTATGAGACCCGCAACTCAGGGGCCCTCAGCCTCCTGGGCAGGTACTGGCGGAGCCAGCGGGAGGAGCTGAGGATAAACCCCATCTTCCAGCGTCCGAGGTCAAGGCTTCCTACAAACCGGCCCACGCACACACTAGCTTCATTGTCTTCTCCTGCGCCGAGCTGGAGGTCCCCGCACTGTCACCCTGAAAAAGGCTTGTCCTTCCTCACCTTCGTACCTGTCCCTCTCACCTTTGCTCCTTACATCACCTCCTCCAGGAGGCTCTCCCTGTCCCAGCTCTCCCACCTGCCCGGTCTATTTATAGCTTCCCCCAGAACCCTCACTGATTTTCCCCAGGTCGAAGGGGCTCAAGTTCAAGCAGTTTGTTTCGTTTGTTTAGTACTCTGTCTCCTGAACATGTGTGTCTTCCTCACCAGTCCCATGAGTCAGTGACTACGCCTCCCATCCCCTCTGGCATCGCCCAGAGCACCCAGCTCTGTGCCACGTCTGCGGGGGGGCCCCGCGTCAGGACTGCTGTCTGCTTTGGGCAGGTTCTGTGGAGCAGAGCCGCCCCCGCGCCTCATCTCCTCGCACCACCAGCTGGCTGTGCTCTTTAGGACAGACCGTGGCATCAGCATCGGGGGCTTCTCGGCCACCTACCGGGCCCTCAATGCCACAGAGAGTAGGTGGCCCTGGGCGAGTGGGTGTGGGCAGTGGAGGCGCCTCCAGGAGAACAGGGAAGGGCTCTGGACCCTGCTCAGGGCACTGTGAAGGCAGTGGGGGTACAGGCATGCCCCCTGTGCCTGCAGACCCCTGTGGGCCCGGAGAGTTCTCCTGCCGGGATGGAGGGTGTAAGAATCTGCAGTGGATGTGTGGCATGTGGAGAGACTGCACAGAGAGCAGCGATGATAACTGCAGCATCCCCTTGCTCCCACCCCCAGGTGAGGAGCCTGCCCCAGGGCACCGCAAGGGGGGCTGGCAGGCCTGAGCGGGCTGGGTGCCCATCCCTAGAAACCCACTGGCACGTGTCATGACAGCCATCCCTATCTTCCCTGATGGGGTGGGGGGCCCACTAGCCTGACTCTGGACCACTCCACCAAACACTGGAGGGATTCTCCCCCCAGGAGTGGCAAGGGTACTTAGTGTCACCCCCGAGGGAAATGGGAATCTGGGAGTTGATGGTTGAGGCTTCAAGAGCTCATCCAGCCTTACACAGAGAGGCCCTCTCCAGGGCCCACCTCAGAGACGGGGGGAGAGCGGGGGAGCTCCTTCCAGATGCCCTGGTCCTGCCAATGTTGGTGCCCCTAGCTCCCTGAGATCATAGAGGTGCCTGCATCATGCCCAGGGCTGGCGAATGATGCTTGGAGTAGGCTCTCGAGGAAAACGGGAATCCTCAACATGGATAAAGCATCTCTCTGTGTTATCTCCTTTGATTCTCCCCATCTGACCCATAGGGAGCGCTTAGGTGACTTGTCCCAGCTCACACAGCCAGTGAGTATTCCCCAGAGTGACCCTCCCCTCCCACCCCTGCAGAGCTGGCCTGTGAGCCTGTCCAGGTGGAGATGTGCATCGGTCTGAGCTACAACACCACGGCCTTCCCTAACATCTGGGTGGGCATGGCCACCCAGGAGGAGGTGGTGGAGGTCCTCAGAGGTTACAAGGTGCTCCAGGGAGAGATAAGGAGGAACCCCCAGGGAGGGGAGGGACCTGGGGGAGCAGGGTGCCTGAGGGCTGGTCTCCTCCTTCCACAGAGCCTGACAAGCCTGCCCTGCTACCAGAATTTCCGGAGGCTCCTTTGTGGGCTACTTGTGCCCCACTGCACCCCGCTAGGCAGTGTCCTTCCCCCTTGCCGCTCTGTCTGCCAGGAGGCAGAGCGCCAGTGCCAGTCTGGCCTGGCACTACTGGGCACCCCCTGGCCCTTTAACTGCAACAGGCTGCCTGAGGCAGCTGGCTTGGAGGCTTGTGCCCAGCCCTGACCCTGAGGCGGGCCCCTGCCCTCTGCTGCCCATCCTCCTTTGCCTATCAGGGTGGGCAGGCAGGGGAGCAAAGGAAGGGGACCAGCATGGGACTCTGCCCATCCCCTCTGGGTCCTCCCAGGGAGGGGAAGAGGAGTCCTCAGCAGGGCTAACGGGACCCTCCCACCCTGCCAGATCCTTCCCTATCCTTTTATTTGCCCCAGCTGCTGCAAACAGCTGGCCTGACTCCACACTGTACCAGTGATAATCTAGATTGCTTCCCACCCAAGCCTCTGACCCCAATTTCCCACCTTCTACCTTCCTCATCTCCATCTGCTTTTTCAGGCTCTCTACCACCCGCTTTCCGACTTTTTCATTTATTCAAAAAAAAAAAAATGTACCCAGTGCCTAGTCATGTGGCAGGCCCTATTCTGAGCCCTGGGGATCCAGTTGTCTACTGCTTCTAGAACCGTCCACCCTCGGTTCTCAGCTTCTATTTCTCCTGGACTAGAGTGTTGTCTTTGATCTCCGTCGTGGCACCATCTCTCCTTCCAGCTCCTTGGAGCCGTAGATGCCCCGAACGTCTGTTTCTCATGGTTCTGCCTCTCTGCGCCCGCCTCAAATCTCTCCCTCCTTTCTCCACCAAACTTTGGCCGGCCGCCGGGCGACACCACGAGTTATTTCCCTGTTATTTCCCGGCCCGGGCTCTTGGCCCCCGAACAACTGGTTTCCTCTTGGAGTCTGGGAGGAGCAGAGCAGAGCCGGCAAAGAACGAACCGGGACCAGGGGGACGCTGAGGGCAGGGGGCGCCTGGCTAGAGAGAAGCGCAGGGAAGGAAGGTAGCAAGCAGGGGTCAACTGGAGGGTCCGGAGTAGCGAGAGCCCCGAAGGAGGCCACAGAGAGAGCGAGCAGCCCCGGGAGCCGGGAGGGGGGTGAGTCTGGTCGCGAAGGTGGGGGCGGGGGGCGGGGAAATGGGGATGGGGGAGGGGACTGTGGGAAAGACTGGGCGCCGGCCCGGGGTGGTGGTGGTGGGAGGGCCGGCCTCTCCTTCCCCCTGCGCGGTGCTCTCGGGGTTCTTGGGTCTAGGGGCGCCCCCTTCTTCGTCCCCTCGAGGCCACTCAGCCTCACTCAGGGACATGGCAGTGGGGTGGGGACCGAGCCGGCTGCGCCGGGGCGGGGACCGAGGCAGGTCCCAGGATTCCGGGTCCCGACTCCTGTCCCGCCCAGCCCACAGACGACCAGAGGCCCGCGGCGTCCGGGCTCCGCGTGCCAGAGCCATGAGGCCGCTCCTCACTCTGCTGCTCCTGGGCTTGGCGACCGGCTCGCCCCCGCTGGACGACAACAAGATCCCCAGCCTGTGCCCGGGGCACCCCGGCCTCCCCGGCACGCCGGGCCACCATGGTAGCCAGGGTCTGCCCGGCCGCGACGGCCGCGACGGCCGCGATGGCGCGCCCGGGGCTCCGGGAGAGAAAGGCGAGGGCGGGAGGCCGGGTAAGAAGCGCCTCCGCTGGGAGGCTGGTAAGAGTGCGGCCCCGCTCCTGCTCCCGGGGGCCCGGGGCTCGGGGTTGCCGCTAGGGGGCGCCGCTCCCGTCCCCGTCCGACCCGGCCGGAGCCGGGAGAGGAGAGAGGGACTCAGCTGCGGGAGCCAGAACCCCTGGGACCCTCAGATCTGCCCCAAGCCCTGCAGGAAGCGTGGAGGGGGCCCTGGGGCGCAGGGCGGCCCCGGCCGGGAAGGGGCGGCTGGGAGGCTGAGGGAGGATGCTGGAGGCCCGCAGCGGGCGCGCCCTAACTGCTCCGCTTTCCCCCCACCCCCACCCCCGCAGGCCTCCCGGGGCCGCGTGGGGAGCCCGGGCCGCGAGGAGAAGCAGGCCCCGTGGGGGCGGCCGGGCCAGCAGGCGAGTGCTCGGTGCCTCCGCGCTCCGCCTTCAGTGCCAAGCGCTCGGAGAGCCGGGTGCCCCCGCCGTCGGACGCGCCCCTACCCTTCGACCGCGTGCTGGTGAATGAGCAGGGACATTACGACGCCGTCACCGGCAAGTTCACCTGCCACGTGCCCGGGGTCTACTACTTTGCCGTCCACGCCACCGTCTACCGGGCTAGCCTGCAGTTCGATCTGGTCAAGAATGGAGAGTCCATCGCCTCTTTCTTCCAGTTCTTCGGGGGGTGGCCCAAGCCAGCCTCGCTCTCCGGGGGCGCCATGGTGAGGCTGGAGCCCGAAGACCAGGTGTGGGTACAGGTGGGCGTGGGTGACTATATTGGCATCTACGCCAGCATCAAGACAGACAGCACCTTCTCTGGATTTCTAGTGTATTCTGACTGGCACAACTCCCCTGTCTTCGCTTGATGCCCACTGGAAAGTGAGCGCACGCTGTCTCACTCGAAGGGCAGGAGGGCATGACACTGACAGCCACATCATCCAGGAGGGCTGGCCCCCCCTGGAATGTTGTGAATGACCGCGGAGGTGGGGTGGGGGCCTCTCCGTTCTGCTGCAGGCAGGGGATGGGGACAGAGGCTGAGATCAGGGCTGGCAGCACGGGGCAGTGGCTGGATTTCTGCCCTAGACCAAAGGAGTGCTGGCAGGCAGCGTGCTGGCAGTGTGCTGGCAGGTGTGAGTCCCCGCAGTTGCTCTGGCCCAGGACCCCAAGGTGGGGTGCTCCCTTCCCAGTCCTCTGCTTCTCTGGGTCCTCCCTCATCCCTCCTGCTCCTGGGCCTTTTTCTCAGAGATCATTCAATAAATCTTAAAACAACAACAACAACCCTGTTACTGGCTTCAGCCTTTCTTCTTTACTGGTGGGGATGCCCTGACTCCGAGAATGGGGAGAAGAGGGAGGACGGTGGGTGGGGAGGGCGCTCAGGCAGAAGGGAGGGCTCTTGGCTGGACGGAGCTATGGGCCAGGAGATACGGGAAGCAGGCCCAGGTGAAGGAGAGGCCGCTCCACAGACCTGCTGGGTAAGCAGTGGAGGTTGTGAACGGGAGCCCCTGCTGAGGAGGGTGTCCGGGTGTCAGACTTTGGCCACCCAGAAGGAGGAGCCCCTTTTTCTAACTCAAAGATGTCATATGAACTGGGTGGAACTTCACCACACACATCCCTGCCCTGACCAACAGAAAGGAAGCCAGGATTTTCATTCATGGCTGCTCTGGCTACTTGCCTGGTCCCTAGATGACTGGAAAGCTATTTCTCTGTCCCCCATGCCAGGGGAGTGGAGGGTCCCTGGGTGTCTAGAGATGTCATCTTGGAGATGGCCACGAGGGGGCAGCCCAGTTCCAGAATGCAGCAATGACCCTAGGTAGCTGAGCTCCTGACTGCTAAGGTGGTTAGGGGAAGGAAGGGTATTGAGCTCCGCCAGTGGGATTCCAGATGGGGGTGGAGGAAAAGGGGGTCATTTGCTCCCAGCTCAGGAAGTTTATCTTCTCTCATAAAATGTTTATCCTCACATTAAACAGAGACTGGAAGGAACCAAGCCTCCCCTCGCTCAGCTCCCTGTCCAGAGTTGGGGGAAGGGAAAAAAAGAGCCCTTTCTCAGGCCTCCCAACTCCAAGGTGGATGTGGGGAACAGTCACTCACTGAACCGGGCCACACCACTCAGTCTGAGGCTAGCCGCAAAGCCCCTCCGAGGCTCCTCGCCTTGCCCCACCCCCGACCCGATGACTAACAAACCCGGGCTGGCCCGCCCACATCCCCTCAGGCTCTCAACCCAAGAGAAGGTGGAAGGGCCTCTCCTCGGAGTTTCTTCCCATCTACCGCTTTCCCCTCCCCCACCCCCTTCCAGAAGGTTGTCCCTGGCATCATGCTCCTAGATTTAACATACAATTATGGGGTAGTGTCCCCCCTTCTCTTGCAGGTCATGTGAGGATGGATATGACCAATGGCGACTGGACCCAGTGAGCTAGAGACAGGCCTCCCAGCTGTCCACCAGGAGGCTCCACAGCCATACTCCAGCCCATCACAGCGCCACTCTATGCCAAGAGACACAACGACAAGCACCAACTCCTCCAGGGATCTGAGGGTAGGTTGGACTCCAGGCAGTAGGAACCCCAAGTTCCCTCCTGGGAGGAGTGGCACCAGAGGAAAAGCTGGGAGGGCTGACCCAAAGGGTGAGCAAGTTCACACTCCTCTCTCCTAGGGCTAATTCTGGAAAGATAGAAAAGATAAGGAGAGCTTTCCAAAAGCTGTGCACGTGAGAGGGCACAAATCAGGGTGAAAGCAAAGCCAGCCACACCTGGCAGGGGCTCTCCCCAAGGCACCCTATCTTATCTCTCTGCCAGGTCCCCCACCAACCACACTTGCGACCCCGGCAGGACCGAAGGACCCTGCTGCAGCATCCATCACCCTAACCGACGGCTCGCCCTTGCAAAGATGCACACAGAGGTCGTCAGAGCTGTAACAGAACTTCATTCATTGGATCCTGGGCCAGACAGATGCCTCAGGGAGCTGCATGCCTCCCGGCCCTGGCCCCTTCTGTATTTGGACCCTAGTGAAATGTGCACAGTCTGCCCTCCCCGATGCCAGGGAGAGACGAACAGAAGGGGAATGCCATCTCACTCCGCGATGTGGTGAGTGAAAGGGATAGGAGTAGAAATCTGGCTATCCCCCCCGCGGTTCCCAGTGGTGCTGGGGTGTCAGAGGGCATATGGTCCCAAAGCCAGGTGCAAACACACACACACCTGGGGGTTAATTCTCATCCCAGCTGTCGGGTCAGGTCAGAAGGGAGCCTCGTAAGATCGTGACTGGTAGGTGCAGCTCTGAGGGCACCCGAGAGATACTCTACCCCCAAAGCCTGCCAGAACACAGGGGCTCCAGCTGAAAGCACATGTTCAAGATCATCCCAAGGCCCTTGAGTTGCCACAACACCCAAATGACGCTGAAGTGTGTGGCTGCAGAAGCAGGGGAGGAAGTGGGAAGGGAGCAGGGAGAGAACCTGCAAATCCCCAACAGAACAACCAGAAGCGGAGAGGGGGAGCCCCACACGCGGGTATCTGGGTGGGCCCTGGCAAGCTGGAGGGGAGTCCACAGAGAACAGTCTCAGGGCCTCGCAGAGTGACACACTCACCACCCTCGGCATCACTGGGACCCACTGGGTAAGGATAAGCTGTTACCCTGACCCCAGCCAAGCCACAGTCTTCCCGAGTTTCCCATCTCCATGTCCGGGACTTATGGCTCCGAGGCCCGGCAGGACGGCCACAGGGGCAGGAGGGGCTTCAGGCTGGGACCCAGAGATCAGGTGTGAATGCTGTCCTAGCGCAGGTGGCTGCGTGGAGGGGTGGGCAGGCGGGGAGGGAGTCTTCAGAGGTAGACGTTGAGGGTCTGCAGGATGCCCCGGCGGCACAGTGGGCAGTTGCGGTGGTAGACGGGGTGGCGCATCAGGATCTCAGTGCAGGCCTGGCAGAGGCACAGGTGCCGACAAGGCAGAAGCAGCACCGTCTTGCTCTGGTCCTGGCAGATGACGCACTTCTTCCGCTCCTCTTGCTCCTTCAGCAATTTCCATGGGTCTTGCCCAGCTACAGGCTCCTCCACGTTGAGCCTCTCCCGGCCCCGGGCAGCCGTCACTCTGGCCATCCTGACCTCCTCTTCTTCTGCCTCTGATCTGGGCCCAGCTTCAGGAAGAGCG